ACCGCCACGTCCGCGGCCGCAGCAGGCGGGCCGCCTGCAGGGGCAATGGCGCCCTGCGACGACAGGGTGGCCGACGAAGACGACGGCCCGATCAGCGAGGTGGGCGCCCTTTAGCTCCTCCTCCTCCTCTTCGCATGCGCCCCCACGGACTCCGCGAGGTGCTTGACCATGGACTTTTCCGCCGGGCCCATGTGCAGGCTGTCGAGGTCATTGGCGTCCATGCCCTCCGCGTGCAGCACCTGGCGAAAACCGTGCAGGACGAGAACAACAGCGCACCGGTGAACGACGGTCTCGTCCAGGTCCCCGGGGACGTACTCCGGCAGTGCCAACTCGATGGAACGGACGGCCTCCAAGAACGGCAGCGCCTTGAGGCCACCGAACGGCTTGGTCATGACGTCCTCTGCCGTTCTCTTCCTCTTCGTGCCTTTGACCGCGCTCTTCCACTTGCTAGCCAACAACTGACCCATGACCTGGCACCTAGTGCCGGCGAGTCCCCATAGACGCCGATCGGCCACCAGATGGCCAATGCCGGTGGCGCACAACAGACTGGCTGTTGGCGTCAGCGCAACAATCTGCTTCAGCAGGCCCGGGAGCCTCTCGAACTCCTTCGCAGAGACGGCGTTCACGACCGCACTCCGGAACCTCTGGGCCCGCCGTTCGGCACGAGAGGACCTGAGAACGCCCGGCGGGGAGCGCTGCGCCGCAGCCCTGACGCTCGAGCACAGCGGCAATCGACCCGGCACGCAGGGGAGGGAGGGCCAGGAATGCCTCTCGGCAAAACCCCCCCCCCCAAAGCTTCCATAAGGGGGGGGGGGTCGGGAGCCAGGCGGCGGCCCCGGGGACTCCGAAGCAGAGCGCCAGCAACAGGGGGGCCGGAAAACGACGGCCCGCCAAGCCGCGCTCCACCAGCCACCCAGCGACACTGCGGCGAGACCCCCCCCGCCCCGGGCCCCGCAAGGCGTAGCGCCGAGCCGGCCACGAGGCCGCTGCAAGAGAGGCACGCGCGTGCGGCGCGGCCGCGCTTGCCCGCCCAAGTGCAAACAGGCCGCTTTTTCCTCGATGCAATCAACGACTGCTCTGCGCCACCAACAAATATTAAAAACTACTTATATGCCATATGTTCGCCGCCCAACTCGGCATCTGTGGTGCTCTGAACACCGCCCCGAGCTCACGGAGCAAGGACCACTCGTCACGGGTTGGGTCATCCGCTACATTCGCATGGGATTCCACGCGCACGGCATGCAGGCCTATCTGGTACCTTGCAACGTCCAACCAGACCTTGCCGACGACGAGATTGGCGTCCTAAGCGCCCGCCCTGCCGTTCAGCAGCGCATGGAGGACGCCCTGATTGTCTATGGACACCGTGACAAGGGCCCCGCGCAGCAGGTCGGAGAACGTCTCGTACGCCAGCGGGACGGCAAGAAGCTCCTGGAGGCCAATATGGTGATTGCCTCGCGGGAGGAGCTGGCGCCAGATAGACTCGCCCAGCTGCGTGCGCGTGAACAGCCAGCGCCGATCTACGCGGAGAACGGCTGCTAACCAGCGGCTTGCGCCAGCCGCATCCGTCCACAGATGAACGTGCCGCCTCGTTGCATCAGGGACCGAGTGGACAATCGCTGGAACCTCGGCCAAGTACTCGAGCCACCACGCCGCTGCCTGAAGCAGCCAGCAAGACGCACCCTCACCCCGCAGCGGCGCGTACGTCTGCGCGAAGAAAGGTTTGATGTACGCCCTGCCGACTTTGCCCGCGGTGAGGACACGGCGAACGACAGCCGGCCAGCCATCTTCATAGCCGTCTCTTGGCTGCAGCGGCGATCGCAGAGAATCTGCCAGAGGATGGCCTTGCACTTGACAGCCTTGTCGTCGGAAATCTGCACGGAGACCGTCGCGCGCAGCATGTCCATGGCAACCTTCGCGCCAAGGACCACCATGGCGAGGACGTCGTCTGCGTCCTTCTCCCTCGCGCACGGGAGACCGGTATTCATCGAGACGATTGTGAGGCACCCCCCGCCGGTCCAGCACACGCCGTCCTTCGAGCAGCCGAAGAAGTCGTCGACGAAACGGGCTGCCGGCGCCAGGCAGATCCTCCTGATGACGGCCAGCAGCATTGCGCCAACGCGGTGCCATGCGTACACCGCGGACGTCGTGCCGAACGGCATCCCGAGATGCTGCGCAGCCCATGCGGTGCCTTTGTACAAGAAGACCACCCACGCGAGATCAAGGTTCTGGGCTGCTATGGCCAACCGTCTGAAAGCACGGGAGATGTCGCGCTTCCACATGCGCGGGGCCACAGCGTGCCGCGCGAACTGCAACAGCATCAGCACGAGGACGTCCAGACCATCGTGCGCAACCTTCTGTTGAGCTCGGCATGCTTCGTTGACGCCCGATTCAGTTTTGTTGTCCACGACGCGGGTCTTCCACCCACGGCTACGCTGCTCCCGCACAGGCAGCCGCCTGGAAAGGGTCGCCGCTCCAAGGTCCAGCTGGTCCACCGGGACTGGCTCAGACATAGCGCCTCGCTGCGCGTCCTCCGACGTCTGAGCCCAGATGTCCCCATCCCAACCAGTGGCGCGCACTCTGCCCAAAATGTGCTGGTTCATAATCCAGCGCTGGTTGCGCAGGGCCTCGATGTCCAAACGCCCCAGCGCCTTGGGCACAACGTCAACCACTGCCTCGTGCGTCTTGGGCAGCGAACCCACGTACGGGAACCCCTGCTGCAGCGCATCGACCAGGCCGACGCCCTTGAAGCCCATGGCCTCGCAGAGCTCACGAACCAGGGGCCCGTGAATGCCCAGCACGAGCTGTCGGATTCTTGGGTCAGCGTCGCTCGCCCAAGCGACTTGTGCATCGCGTAGCTGCTCAGCTCTGCTGCTCCAGAAAGCCAAAGCCTTGGAGCGGTCGGCGTCGATCTCGCTGGCGCTATGCGCGAGCTCGTAGCCGATGGCTCTGCCCAGGTCCGCATCGAGGGAAACGCCCTCCAATTGAAGCGGGTGGTCTTGGCGCAACTGCCACGCGATTTGCTCGCGTTTCGAAAGCCCTTTGGGCTGGCCTCCACCGTTCGGCACGAACGGCTCCAGAACATCCGGCGGCAGCGGAAAATGCTCGCCATGACTGCGCGCCGTTCCCGGCCAGCGCTGCTCATCCACAGCGGCTGCAAGCGAGGTGCCTGCAATACCCGCCGCGTCACTATGCAGCGCCACGCTGTGCGGAACAGTGGCGGCACGGCGCAGCCCGCCGTCTCAACGGCGCTTCTTCCCGTACTGCTTCCATTGGCGGGCATTGTCCATCCACGCTTTCCTCTTGGCATCCCGCGAGCTGCCGGCATGGCTGTCGTTCTGCCTGCCCTGCGCCTGCTGCTGCTGCTGTTGCAATGCGATCTGGCGTTTGTTGAGCTCCTCCTGCTGGCTGGCCATGGCTTTGGCCGCCTGCTCTGCACGCTTCGTGATCGCCTGCGCCGCGCTCGCGCCCTTGGCCAGGGCGGACTCTGCAGCTGCAACCTGGGACTGGTAGTCGGAGGCTCCCTCAGCTGGGCCACGCGCGCGTACAACGCCAGCGTCCGTAGGCTTGAGGTGGTGCGAAATCAAATCCAGCCGGGTACGAGCCGCAAGCACGGTCTGTTCGTTGACCGCGGCCGCTTCTTTTGGGATGTCAAGCTCTGGGTCACGCTGCGCCGCCCGCTTGGCCCAGTGCTGCCTCTGGAGCTGGTCGTACAGAACCGCCAGAACAGAGTCCCCATCAGTGACCCGGCTCTCCTCGGCCAGGCGCACGATGGTCGCATGGTGGGTGAGCGCCGTCGCCCACGTCAGCTGGCCGACTGCCACAGCGACTGGCACGTAGCGCAAATAGGCCGCAGACCACTGGGCAATCGACCGAAAGCACCTCGGAGATGCAGTCGCCGCTCGCAGTGCCGCGCCAAGCTGCGAGATGGAAGACGTGGCCCTCGATTCCCACATGTCCTCCGCCAGGCCTATGCTTTTTCCTCCCACCGCATCGGCTGGAAGCCACGCGGGGAGGACAGCATTGGCCGTCAAGTCCACGTACGTGAAGGGTGTCTTGCCGGCGCGCACCGCCGCCTTGGTGCCAGCAGCCAGCGCCGTCCACACTTGGAAGTCCGCCTGCATGTGGTACGGGAGCCCGTCGAACTTCGCAGCCTTCAGGAGGTCTGGCACGTTCACGTCGTCAGCGTTGGCGCTCATGGCCTTGGCAATCTCCGCCGCGCTGGCCTCAGACCCGAAGAGTTCCACGAGTGAGGGATCCAGACGCTCCGGCTGGGGCATGGCGTCCTTCGAAGCCCGAGCCTCCGACCCTCCTGCGCCCATGGCGTGCTCGGCGGAGGCAGCAGCTGCAGCAGCAGCCGCCGCTGCACGCCCGTGCACGCGCCTCGCGAAAGCACGCAACCCTGCGTTACCTCCGACCGCTTCCGCAACTTCAGCTGGGTCCGAGCCCTCAAGGTCCTTCGGACTCCTCAAGCCTCCTGCTGCCAGCTTCTCTGCGACCTCTTTGAGGGTCTCCTCGGGAAGCGGGTCGTCGTCGACCGACTGCAGGAAGGGGACCCAAACTTCGGCTGACATGGTGGTACACTGTGGGCGTGCAGTGGACCCACCACGGAAAGCGAAACGGAGAGAGTCTAGAGCCAAAACGGCAATGGAACGGCTCCTATCCCATCGCCCTTATGCAGCATCATTTGCAATGATTCTCCAGAAAATTATGGGAACATTGTTCTCTGTTTCCAGCAATTCGGTGTTCGGCCAACCAACACGGTGAAACAACTGCAGCCACCCCCCATAACCCACACACACACACACGCAGAACAACAAACAACGGCAGTACAAAATAGAATCGAACCGAGCACGGCGCAAACGAGAATGCCAAGACTGAACAACAAAACAACTATACCCAAACAGGGGGAGACTGAAAACGTTGATATTGAAAACGATCAAAAACAAAAAAACGCCCCCCGCGTTTTTGACGCCATCCGACGCCCTGCACCGCGGGGGATCCTTGGCCTTCTGGCGCACCTCCAGCGCCCTGCCCTCCAGCTCCTCGCGCTCGCGGGCTCGCGAGTCCTGCTCCGCGGGGCGCCGCGGCGGGGCGCGGCCCCGGCCCAGGACGCGGTGGACGACGTCGACGACGGCACGCCAGAAGCGTGAGGTGACGGACCGCGTGGTGGCATCGGGATCCCCAACGACCTCACCGCGCGGTGCGTCGCCACACGGTCTTGGGACCTCGGAGGCCCCGATCGCCCGAGGCGGCCACGGAGAACGACCCGCGTCCCAAAACCGTGCGATGACCCCGAATCCCCGCTGACTCACCACACAGTGTGGTCACCCCACTGTTTGGGGGCCCCCGGTCCATATCCACGGTCTGGGAACTGACGTCCTGGGACCCCCGGGGGCGGCGGATATGGATGCATTGGGGCCTCCGTGGGGCCCTCAAACATGGACCCGCGCTACCTGACGAGGCCCTCGAATATCGATCCACCAGGCGGTGGTTTTGGTTCAGCCCCCGCCTTGAAGCCTGGCACGAGGGAGAGGGCGGCGAGGGCCCCACTTCGACTCGTGGCAAGAGTCGGGGCAGGAGACAGCCGTCAACGGTCGGCCCCGGAGGGCTCTCGATGGGCCCCTGGACCGTCCATAGGTGGCCACATCCAGACCCTACCCCCACCAACCATCGGTTCTCCTGAATCGGTGGGAAGCCGGAGTAGGGTTCGGATTTCGCCACCTGTTCGATGAATTCCGATACCTACCCCCGCTATCAGCGAAGGTAGGGTTCGGATTTTGCCGCCGAAACCAAACACGGCTCGTGATGAAACAGCAATCCACTGGTTAACCGGTCCAGACCGCTGGGGGTCCACGTTGCGACAAACATCAAAACGCCAGGGGTCTGGCCACCTGGCACGTCAGGCGTGCTCAACAGGCCCCGAGCTGGCCCCTGGGAGGCCCCAAGAGTGGAGGAAGGAAGAAGAGGATGAACAGGCTACGGCGAAGGCGAGGCGAGACAACCCGACTCGACGCGGAAGAGCGTGTCATATTACTGTCATCTCAAGGCTCAGGACGACAGATCTCAAACATTAAGGCATTATGGGCGGTGCTCGAAAGGTCGCAACCCGATACTGCGCTGGCATGGCATGCAGCTGAATAGAGAGACGAAACACTGTACAAGTCTGAGCTTTCGGAGGTGCGCGCAGTTTCTTGGGTCAAGGCTGTCCCCCCCTCCCCACACGCCTGGGGGGCGCCTCTGGCGCAGCCCCCTGCGCGCGGAACGCGCCCAGAAAGGGGCCCACCGCCGACCCAAGAAACCCACAAGGGCCCAACGAAGTTCATGTTGATGCAGGAGCGGTCAACGGTCGAATCGGGGAATCGGCTCGTATCAGAATGCGTCGGATCGGGTCGCAGCGGCACGGAGTCGGAGTTGCATCGGATCGGCTGCGCCAGGATGCGCAGGTCACAGGTTGCAGGTCCCCTGACGCGAGGCGCTCCCGCTGGGAGAGGGAGAGGATGGGCGCCGTGCCGCGGAATATCACAAGATCGCATGCTGCCACACAGAAGCTGTGCATTAGCTCCAGGCACGGCGCCATGCGAACACGCCAAGTGCGTCCGGGACAAAGGCTCTAACGTGCCAGCAGCATGGGCCAGGCGACGTGTCAACAACAAAATTCATGCTTCAACCATGGATAGATCGATTGGTGGACGAAAATGGACGGAGATATCCTCAGAAGACGCATCAAAAAAGAATATGCAGGAATCGTTTCGCCTTGTCATAGCATTGGTTGTTATGAGCCACCCCCTGCGCAGCTGTTGTAGATTGAAAGAAAATGGACTCGTGAGCGTTCCACGCGTCCCTGTGTTGAGCGATGTCTTTCCAGAAGGGTGCGTAAGACCAGAGGTCGCCCGCCCAACGGAAACACCTCGCGCGTTCCGGGCGTCGTGGCCTCCCTCCCAACACGTCCATGACGGCGCACCACTCGCCATCGCGCCACTCGTCGGTTCTCTTGCAAAACCTGCCGAAATCCATCCGCACAACGCGGCCTACCCATCTCCATTTGGCGCGCATGGCTTCCTCAATCCATGATTTGACACCTGCGCCCATTGCTGCCTCTCGAACTGCTCGCGTGCACCGGATGACCCACTGAACCCAGTATTCGTCGGGCGTCCGACGGGTGCCCACTATGCGGCGGAGCATCTCGTTCTGCGCCGATGCGAGCCTTTTCTTTTCATCTACCGCTGCCACCCAAGACTCGCAACATCACACAACGGTTTTCGATACACACGTCTCAAAAAGACGAAGGCGTTTCAGTAACAGCCCCCGGAGGTTGCAAAAGCGGCCAGAGATGGTGTAAATTCGCCCAGCTTGCTGAAACCCGCGATTTGATCTCGACAGAGGCACGCCCGTGCACTGCCAGCTGCTCCCCGACACTTTGAAACCAACTCTGCCAGAAATAATAGGAAAATACCATGCCATCTACCTCCGAACTTCCGCTGGTCTGTGAATCCGTATCCCGTCTGTTGTTCTGAATAAAACATTTACATTAAGCATCGCACCTTTCTGCCCGAGCGCTGCAGCTGTGTCTGGTATATGTGTTTTCCCTCGGGGCGTCTTCGAATCTGGTCATGAAGGTCGCGTCGTCGGCAAACATCACGCGTGCTAGGCGGCGGCCGCCATCGCCATCGGCCCCAACGACCGTGCCGAATTTTTAACATTCTCACTTCCGTTTCAAATCCTCGAAGCCCCCGGCGGGAACGTTGTTGAAGAGCACGGGCGAGATAATTAGGGTAGCCTTGTCTGACGCCGTGGCGAACGCGGAACATTCTGCTCGCTGCGCTGGAATCAAGATGAACGCATGCATGTACATTGCTGCACAAGCGCTGCAACGCTGACACGATTGAGGCATCAAACCTTGCTGCGACAAGCGATTCGAATATCCCGAGACACGTTTCACTCTAGTGGCCAAGATGTTGGCGAACAATTTACACGAGACGAGGAGTATATTGATTGGCCGGAAAATCTCGGGTAAACTATTGTCGCCTTCCTTGTGCACGACGATGATCTCATGTGCTGGCCAGCCCTTTGGAAGCGGATCTGGGCCCTGCAAGCCCTCCGTGAACAAATCAGCTAAACTGCCGAGCAGCTGGCAAGGGCCGGTCCGCAACATTCTTGCAACTACCCCATCTCCCGAACAAGTCTGTCCTGTTTTCATGGTTTTCAACGCCATCGCTAGCTCCTCGGGGGCCATCGGCTCGACGCCCCCGGCTGCCTTCTCAGAAGTGATGCCAACGCGCATCCTCCGAAGCATCGCGCAACGATTCGCCGACCTTCGCAAACGCTTCAGCGATTTCATCGGGCGATGTTCTCGCGACACCTTCAATGTCGCTCGCTCCAGCAATTTGCCGCCGTCTTCTTGGGGTCGATAATGTTTTGCCGAATTCTGATGCGTTGCCATTTTGAGGTTGAACGCGTTCCATTCTCGCTGGCCGCTTTTCCCCTCTCAGCGCCGTCGAGCATTTCGACGCCAGCTTCAACGCGCATTTTCGCACCTCTGCTTTTTGAGAACATCGCCCTCTTGAATGAGTTGTCTGAGCCGGCCTCAGGTGGCCTCGCTCGGCCCCGGCGCCGCCCGATTCGCCGCCGCTCCCGCTGCGCGAACTCCTCGGAGACATTCCCAGCCAATGCCTCCAGTGAATCTGGAATTGACCGTTCAAAAATGCCAGATAAGGCTGCGTGAAACGTTGCAGGGGCATCGCCCTCATTAAAATGAAGCTGCCAAGACTTTGCGGCCACGGCATTCCCAGTGCGATGCCGCCCGCTACGTCTCTCGTTTTTCTCCTCGCGTGAACTCGGCCGCGACGCATCTATGACCCGATCCAAAATCAACGCTATCATTGACGAAAGCGTCGCTCAGCGCTGGCAGCAGAGCGGAAGTGCACATGATGAAGCCGATGTGAACTCGCACGCTCGCGCACCAGCGCTGACGGGCCCAATGTCGTTCGAACCTCTTCTGCTTCTGGGCGTTTGTTGCAGAAGGCTTCAGTGTTTGGAACCGCCCAGAAAAATGCCCCCCTCTGCTATTTCCGTCGCCCAGACGCCGTTTGCCAAGTAAGCGCGGATCGTCGCGTTCGCTCTGCGGGCCCAACACTGCGTTCGCATCCACGCCGATGAAAGCATTGGCTTGATGCATGGGTTGCATTGACACGTTGCTCCAACTGCGCCAAGAGAGCCACGCGTTTCCCCCGGGTCCACTCCACGCGGACAATGCGCCGACGCGCCGACATGAAAAGCATTGTCGGCCATGCATACAAACTGAAAGTGCGGAAATTCCCCCAGCATCCGATGAACATTTCGATTTGAATTTTGCCTGCGCCCACTTCGAGCGCAAGACAGCGGCGACCCCCCGGAGCAGTTCACCGCCGCGGCGCCGCAGAAATGGCGCCCGCTCTCCAGCTCGCCCAGCGGGCCCTCTGCAAGCGACGGCCCCTCCTGAAGCATAATGACATCCCATTCCTGCAGGCTGGCATCCAAAACAGCTAACAACTGCTCAACCGAGTCGGAAGTCATGCCGCTCGCATTCCATGGCAAAATTGCGAGGCGCTCTTCGATTGGCGCCACGGCAGTTGCATCCGACGCCGCGCGCGCCGCAAGCACTCGTCGCATACTCGCGGGCACGCCCCCCTCGCCACTGCGACGTCTGCCAGCGCGGCCTCCCCGCCCAGAGTGCGGCGCGCAGGTGGCACGCCAAATGCCCTCCTCAAATCTGACATTCTGATGCGAAGCGTTCCTCAAGCCGGCGCCGCGCCGCGCGCCTGTCCTCCAATCGGGCCGGGCAGAACTGACGGACAAGTTTCTTCCACCTCCCGTCGGCCTCTGACAACTTCATTGCTCCGTCCTCCCATTCTGCGACCCTCTGATCCTTCCACCAAGCGATCCCCTTTCTATAGCTCGCATCAATGCCCCTCTTGACCACTGCCCCAGTCCCCGCCCTCGGCATGAATGATGGCGCGAACAACTTTCCTGGCTGCTTTCTCACGTTGCCATCCGCCGAATATGGGCCCTTGTAGGAGTCGGCGTTGCA